TTGTGCGCCGGATGGTCGGACCTTGCGCTTGATGGGCCAGGCCGGCCATACCCTGCAAGATGTACCAGGAAAAACGCCCATTAGATTCTTCAGAAAGTAATACAGCGTTTCTTGGTACGCCTGGATTGTGCGCCGGATGGTCGGACCCTGCGCTTGATGGGCCAACCCGGCCATACCCCGCAGGATGTACCAAGAAACGCCCTGTAGATTCTTAGAAAGCAATACAGCACTTCTTGGTACTCGAGTGCTCCCAAGCTGCTCCGCGCGCTGAACAACCACACACTGTTTAAGGGGCCAGCAGGGTTAACCAAGAAACGCCCTATAGATTCTTAAAGAGTAATACAGTATTTCATGGTACACGAGCCCTCCCAGGCTGCTCCGCACGCACACCCCGACACACAGTTCAAGGGGCCGGCCATACCCTGCAAAATGCACTTGGCCATACCCCACCAAAAGTTTGAGGGGCCCCTGCCAGCAGCCATACCTTGCAAAAACGTATCGAGAAACGCCCATTTGATTCTTAGGAAGTAATACAGCCTTTCTTGGTACACACCCCCGCACTCTGCAAGGCATCGCACCGTTCTGAGGGGCCCGACCAGACGTACCAAGATGTACCAGAGAGGGCCAGGAATCTGATGTTTGAGGTGGGAGATGCAGGCATCTGTCACGAGGGGGCGCGCATGAGTCTAGGTAGTCGAAAGGGCGGGTTTGCCGCTCACCTTGGAACGCGCTCCTCACCAGCACGCTCCTAGTGGCAGTGGGCTGTGCCGCAAACGTGGCGCTCCTGCGTGACAGCGCGCACAGACCCTCTGCGCGGTGGACGGGAGGCTGCCCGGGCTGCGCCTCGTCACTGGCGGCGTGCTGATGGCAGGCTGCGCCAAGACTGCAGTCCGACTCAGAGTGGTCCCCAGTCGCACAGCGGGGGCCAGTGGTTGGGTCCAGGCTGTCGTTGACGTCGCAGTCAGCGCGCGCAACCCCTACAAGCGCTCGATGGGTCAGAAATGTTGGTCACGTGCAATCGACCGGGCGCCAAGTACCCTGCTCGAGACACTGCCGGCAGCCCGGCCATAACCCCCATGACGTACCAGGGTTCAAATTCTTAAGAGAAACACGCCACCTCCTGGTGACATGCTGATGGCGCGCTGGCCCGACCACACCCTCAAGGATGTACCGGGAAAGAGCCTTCAGATTCTCAGAATAAAAAGCAACTTCCTGGTTCGTGCTGCTGGCGCGCCCCGATTCGTGCTCGCAAGTAACAAAGGTCGGCTCCCATGCTTCGCGCCGTCACTGAACCAAGGCCAGGGAAATGCAGTGCAGCACAAGGGACTGCAAAACGCTCACCTTGCGATCTGCTGAGCACCGGACGACGGCTGCTCGTGGCAGGAAGCCGCCCCGGCCGGAGGTTGTTTGACGGCGCGCAAAGGCCCTCACGTGCGGGGCGCTGCGCGTACTGCGCCTCGTCGTTGCTCGAGCTGGCGGCGGCGCGCTCGTGCTGTGAGGGGTCCAGAGTAGGATGAGTCGCGGCAGCGGCGGAAGGCTCGTCTGCATGGCGCGTGCCGTGAACGCCGGTGCCTTGAGATCCTGCGCACGATGTCTCGTGAATCTCACATGATCCGCCCCAAAGATCAAGAGCATGCAAGCTGTCCGCCCGTGACCGGCAAAGACGCCACTATGTGGTACATGCTCATGGGGCTGCGGGCCCGGCCACAACCCCCAGAATGTATCAGAGAGCTGCCTAGTAGTCTCTGAAGAAAGATTGAGATGATCTTTGGTACACTTCATGAAAGCTGCAAGCCCAGCCATACCCCCAAGAATGCGCCCGGCCATACCCCGCAAAATGCACCCGGCCATAACCTACAAGATGTACCAAGAAAGGCCCAATAGATTCTTAGAGAATAATACAGCTTTTCTTGGTACACAACCCTTCTCTGCCCCGCATGCGCCACACCGCACAAGGGGCTAGCCATACCCCGCAAGATAAGTGAACCAGGAAACGTGCCAATAGATCCTTAAAGAAGAAAACAGCATTTTCCTGGTACACTCCCTTTTGTCGAAAGTCGCACACCGGCCATACCCTGCAGAATGCACCCAGCCGCACCCCCCAGAATGTACCAGAAAACGCCCAGAAGATTCTTAACAAACAATACAGCGTTTCTTGGTATACGATCGTGATGAGAAGCAGGGTTGGTGTACCGAACAACGCTCTTCCTTGGTACACTGCTTTTGGGGGCGCCGCATCAAACCTCTTCAGATGAACCAAGAACCAACCTTCTGTGTTCAACATCACACCTCCAGGAGTTATTGGATGTCGCGCAATCACTTTCGATCTGCCAGCCAGGGTGCAAGCTGATGGGCGCTTGCCTCAGTGATTTCTCATGTGACAATCTCGGGCGCTCACCTGCTGCTGCGATCCATGACTGAGGAACAGCAGATGACCCAGCTCCCTTCTGCAGCTGCTCGCGTTTAGGACAGGCATGGTTTGCCTTCCTTCGCGCCTTCTCGCGCCCCTGAACCCATGCTGCAAAAAGAAGAGGGTAGGGTCAGCGCGTGCGCTGGTGGGCCTGCAGCCGTGCAAAGACCTGCACGATTCAAGGTCGGGATGCGGGATGCTCAGACACGATCGAGATGTGTGTGTGTCTCGGAACCCTTACCTGCACGGTCGCTGTCGATCTTGAAACATCCCTTTGATGGCCCGTGGCTATCGCAGAAGTATGCGACCGCCCCTCCCATCTTGCCCCCGCGGAGCCCATACTCCGCGGCCGTCTCGCACTCGCGGCAGTAAATGGCATGCGGGTCTAAAAAGAAGAGAAGAAGAAGACTTAGGGAATCATGCAGGCACAGGACCGATTCCAACCCACCCCCCTGCGTACAGGACCGGCCATACCACCAAGTTTCGGCGCTGTACCAAGAAACGACCCATTGATATCTAAAGAAAGAATTGGCCAGAACATGGTACACCTCTCAACACAAGCCCGGCCTGCCTTCAGACTCTGGCGCCATTGTTACGTTTTAGGGCACGCCAAGCCATGCCACTCAGTTTTGGCGTTGTACCAAGAAATGACCCATTGATATCTTTAAGAAACAGTTGGTCAAATCTTGGTACACCTCTTAACCCAAGCCCAGCCATGCCACGAAGAATTTCCAGAAGGTTCTGCTGATCGATTGTGATGAACGATGATCAATCCGCCGTTGTAAAGAATACCCTTCCTGAAACAATTGTATGTTCGATAGGCTGATGTCCTGCTCTTCATCAAAGAGTGAAACACAATGATCCTTAATCCTCCTGCTTGCGAGCCAGCAACCGAGAATTCGCTGACCTTAAGAGCTGGCTTTCGAAGAACCAAACAAACGGTCTTTTGCTCACCGCGTCCTGCATCCCAATCCAAAGCTTCTTTGAGCACCCGCGCACTGTGACGCTTTGCTTTCTGATCAGCAGCGCTGAAGCGCCGACCTCTTGGAATTCTGCGAGCAGGCTGCCCTTCATACTCTACCCCTTTTAAGCTCTTGCACCGCCGCCGGCGAGGGACAGGAATGTCATTGCTTCGCGAATCGACAGCAACGATTAGAAACTCCTGCCTTTCTGCACTAATTGTGATGCGCTCCCTGTACTCTGCGGCGCGCGCAAAGCGTGCAGCCTGGCAGACCCTGTGATCAGACTTGACCCTGCCACAAGGCCGGCTTGTCGCCATTTTCTAACAAGCACTAGCTCCGCTGGTCACATTTGCAACCACACGAAAGAGAGGTCTGAATTGCCCACAGCGACTGAGGCACAATTTAACTCAGAGCAGACCCACAGCTTCAGAACAGAGCACAATACTGAAGTGTCAGAGCAAGGCACATTGTTTGCCCCCAAACGCTCAAGCAACTCCAGAGACATGGTAATGATGGATTCTAACTCCCAAGTAGGAAAGGCTGCCAGCGCAATCACTTACTCCAGGCCTGAAACGACTTGACCACTTGGCGCTTGCAGCTCCGCCCGGCAGTTGCTATTAGTATTTTACTCAGCTTTGCATGAGGCAAGTTGCAGCACATTGGCAGCTGGAGACTACCGTAGTCCAACGTAATGATTCCGAATAAATAAATAATTATCTGCGTTCGGAAAGTCAGAAATTCGGATTTCCCATTCGGAAAGTAGAATTTCGGAAAGGTAAAATAACTTTGAAATAGTCCTCGGAAGCCGTAAAACTGCCAAAAACAGCCGAAAACTCCCCTTCCAAGTCAGACCATAGGGCATTCGGATTCTGGTCGGAATCAGCATACATAATTCCACTTATTTGGTCGGATTGTTGGAAAATAATTTGAAATAAAATCGTTCGGAATCATCACGTTGGACTACGGTACATGTGTTACCTATGTGACATAGAAGTGGCAGCGTCCGTGGATTGGACCCGGGAACGGTCTGAAGTGGTAATGGTGCGCATAAGGTCCCGCCCTTATGGCGCATAGGCTATGCTCGAGGGGCTGACCTGGTAGACTGATTGTAGGTGACGCGAATCGGTGCACGCGCGCACTCAGGGGCGCGTTGCACAACTGCTTGAGGAACGCGCATGTGAGCTCGCCACCAGCCATGGACGTCATTGGAATTTCATGGACGACCCATGTAAATGAATGGAGGGCTGGGCCACGCGTAAGCCGGGCTGCATGCGCCGTAAGAATTGGAAATATGATATGGCACATGGACACCAAGCCGAGTTTTAATCCACCCACACTCTCCGCGTGGCGCAGAATTGGCGGGCCCTGCATGTATACGAGTATTTTGACAAATATTGCACGGCACACCTGCCAAATCTATGCGATGCCCGTAGAGCCGTATTGCGCCGGCAAAAAACATCACAGCCTCCCTGCAACATAGGCTACATACCGGCATATAAAGTTGAAATGGAGCCATACGCTCAAGCTCTGCCTTAGTTCAAGAACACGATCACACAATAGCGCCAAGTTGCATTGGCTGGGCAGGACAATTTACTACACATGCATATCTCTTCTATCGCGATATAGCTTGTGAACATCATGTAAACGATCGACTTATGCATGCTTGTAACTAGCTCTGGTCTAAAGTGCATAAGCAAGCAAGCAGAGGCCCATACTGTATCGATATTCAGTGTCACCAGGTTCACTTTTCTCTCACTTTCACTTGGATGACCCAGATTTGCCAGCTTCAAAATGGTGTAATAGGAGCATGAGGTGCCCCAGATACCCTAGCCGAATACAGTGGTGAATTGCAGGCACAATGACTATATGCAAATCATGCACGTGGAGCTGCTTCAGATTGTACAGAAATCGCCAGTTGCAGGAATGAAACTTTTCATCAAGGTAAACTCCAAAAACGAGAATCTGCAGAAAGATATCCCCCAGAATTGCTCACAAGACGAGCAAAAGTATCCCTACCAATGCGCCACACCCGGCCCATTAGAAGCGAAGCGCAGGGGCCGTTGGGTCGGGTGTGGCCCCGACGAAGGCCCCACCTCACCCCTTACCCAGCACTGATGGGACCAAGAGCATGCATTGCGGCCCTTGACAGTTCTCGCTGGTACCAGCCTAGCTTCCCCCCCGCTTCCACTTGTCCACCAGTCCTAGCCTTGGATCTAGATCGCCAAACGCTATTTCAATGTGATGGTGTGCAACAATTTGTACAGACCCTGCTTGTGCACGTGAGCTCCCCAGTTGCGCTGGCTTTTGCTTGATGTATGGGGAAAGCCCACCCGCGACCAGACCACCCGGGACGATGTAGCAGAAGGCCATCTTTACGGACTCCAGCTCTGTGTCGCCCAGCCACGGCTTGACGTTGCTGATGTGCATTGCCGTTTGGCTCGAACGTCCATGCTCCTCCGCAGACTGGAGTGTCATCTGAACTTTAGTGAGGCGCTCCACTGAGCCTGCAGAAAGGCACGATACAAACTCGAACAATCTCAACACGTCTCCCAAAACTGTCGCGGATGCCCGGAAAGTGCTGTGTCGAGATGCGCCAATGCAGTAGCGGCAATCCGAGGTTCGTATTGTGATCGGGTTTGCTGACTACATCATGATTCAGCCTGAATTTCGCCGACATCATATCTGGTGTCAGACCTAAGCGCGTTGTCCCAAAAGATTTTGCGTCAGGCTGGGTCTGGCGTGAATACGGCGACAAGTGAGGGCATGTACCCAAAACCTTAAACCAAACCCTACCAGTACACCCAGGCGCAGGTCTTCACTGCCCACGGAAAAATCTGGTCACTACGTATTTCCAGAATTTGAAGCACACCATGTGAACCGGAGGAAAAGCAGACTACCGACTGGTTCGCTTGCAGCCAGCCGGTAACGGGGAAAAAAAGATAAGCTCCGGTGACGTCGCTATCAGCTCTTAGCAGAACATTAGCTGAGGCGTTGCCTAACATCTGGGGCTAAAAGTTCGTTGAGACCGTCACGGGTGTCTTGAGATTGCTGTAGCTATAGTAGCAACTCGTTAAGGACCTTGTGTAGGTAAACACGAAGCTGGTCGTAGCATCGAACTTCCTACAGACAGTCAAAGACAGCTTAGCAACACTTTGGCCTTCGGATATTGGATACTGGTTCGACTGGCCGCCGACAGCAAGTCATGGGCACCAATAGAAGGTCATGGCTTTGGATGCTCACCAAGCTGCTGATCTTGCCTTTTGAACACCACGATGGCCATATCCATGGCGGGGTAGAACGGGGTCCGGGGCACGAAGCAGGCAATCCGTGTCTCCAATCCGCTCTTCTGGAACTCCGTCAACTCGGTCAGGACCGCAGGCCTCTCTGCATCGCGCTCAAAGAACACCAGCTTGACCTGCTGCGCATCCGCCTGCTGAAGTACTGCCTTGTAGCCTCCCCCGTCCACGATCGCGCCAATGGCGCAGCGTTCCGCCAGCAACCCAGCCACCGCTGGTACCCGCTCCCCTTCAAGCTCGGACATCAGAGTGGCCCAAACTCTCACGTCGCTGTAGAAGACAGCCCGGCCTTGCACCTGCTCCACAAAGTGCGCAATGGCTTCTCGCACCAGCGGGAATGCTGGCCGCACTTTGAGGCCCTCGACTGCCACATTCCGCAAATCGATGTCCTCCCATTTAGTCAGTTCAAAACCCACAAACGAGTCGCTGCAGACCATCTTCATCATCTGAGCCAGCCACTTCTGCACTTTCTGCCCCCCCTCCGCCTTGACCCTGTCGTAAATCTGCTCCAAGCTCCTGGTTATCTGCACCACCCTATCGCACTCCAAGAACCGTTCCCAGGCCTCCCAGTCACGCTCCGCCTTCTCACTTGTCTGCTCACCCTCAGCCACCTCCTTCTCGCGGTGCCCTTCCGATTTGATGGCCCCGGCCCCGCCTGCATCTACTGTGCTCGGCCCAGCCTCCTCGAGCGCCTCAGGGCCCGCAGCCTGCCGAAGCGCTTTCACGGTCGCTTCGTAGGCCTTTCTCTGGGAGGCAGCCGAGTCCGCCTCGATCAAATCCTCCCGGTCCGCCTGAGCCGCTCTCAAACCCGGTGCGCGCTCTTTGCCCCCCTCCCCACTCTCGCACGCTTCCCCCTGCGCCTCGCCCTTCGTAACGCTGCCAGGCGTTTCTGATTGCCGCGCCTCACTGCCCGTGGGCCCGGAATTGAGGGTCCGACCATCTCGCAGGACCTCGGCAGCCCCGATCCCATCATGCTTGCTCAGAGGTTCTCCTTCCTTGACCGGTTCCAAGCACCGCACTTGAAAAGTTGGGCTTGCACCGAAGACTTTGGGAACGGAGTAGTTCTCCGGAGATCTTCCATGATAGGCCTCATGCCAATCCGCAAGGCACCCTGCTACTCCCTCCAACTTTTCCATCACAAGCTGTTGGACAGCCGGGGTCGAGCAGTCTGTCCCGTACATGAGATTATAGGACATTTGCTCCTCCTGCACAAGGAGAAGTCTCATTAGACTGTAGTGGGAGGATTCTAAACCCACCCCAATGCAGTGGGGATACCGCATCCTGACCCTGATTCAAAAGCGTTAGAAGGAGCTTGATCTCAAAGCGTTGGAAGGAGCTAAGGGACTAAGGCCTTACTCGACCTAGCGATGACGCCGTCGGCAGATGCTCTGCTCATTAGGTCATCAACTCAAGCAAGACTCCCAGTTCACCAAACTAGAAAGGCCTCTGCCTGCACCCAGACAGCTACTTAACCTTGGAAACACGATCCTTACTCCACGGAAAATGAGATCTGAATGACCAGACGGAGCCAGATATGCGATCAATTCAGAAGGTGCTCAGATGTATAGAGCATGATCCAGCATGCCTTGATTACGTACCTCACTCAGACCACTGTGCACCGGAAACATGCTGGCCAGCTTGTGTAGGGTGTCACTCTCCTTTCTGAGCTCCTCTTCCCCCGCGCTTGTTACCACGATTGTTCTGAAGTGATAGAGGCACGCATCCAGCTCCTCTTTGGCCGTTCCCAGCTCCTGGTACTGGTCCAGGCAGAAGAGCAATTCCTCCTCCCGCCCATTGAGGAATTCCTTCACTGACTCCATCGAGTCGAGGCTTGCAATCTTGTCTATAATCTCCTCCTCCCCCGAGTATGCCCATGCAAGGGCCTGCTTCATGGCCTCAACTCTGTCTGCCTTAAAGTACGCACAGTCCAACATGGGGGCCACGCGCTTTCCCGTTCCGTCCAATGCTGCTGTAAGGTAGACGATCAGTTGCAGAAGGAGGTGCGTCTTGCCAAACCCTGCAGGCCCGTGCATAAGGATCCTCTTCCCACCGCGCGCCAACCCACCGCGCGATAGAGTTGCGTTAATCAGCGCAAGTGCACGGTCTACGAGGGCCCTGAAATGAGAGCGCCCCATGACTGCAACTCCGAGCTTCTCCTGTGCCTTCACCACCAGAAACCGCATATCCCTTGTACCCAGAGGTTCTGCCTGCGGCAGGATGCTCCACCCAGCCTCAAAGACACCCTCTCCCGCTTGTCCGGCCTGCTCGAGCTCAAGCTTCCTTCTTTTTACCAGACCCTTTGTAAGAACCCCAATCTCTGCTGTTGCGAAGCATCCTCTGGAGCGCTTGGATTTGGGTTTGAATTGGACACCTGCAGAATGTTAAGCCACTAATTAGGTTGATCTTTTCTTTATAAGAGCAGGCTAATCAAGCTTCAATCTAGGTGAACGCCGTTGGAGAGAGTTTGCATCATGTCAATCCCCTCAAGGGAACAACTTCGTAAGTAAGCAACTAAGGTTGCACCTGCAGAAATCCTGAATAATGCTGGCAAACATTAAGCTTGCAGAGGGACTTTGCTTGATGACGCTGAACAAGATCATTCTGACAAGACCTTCCACATGCATACTTAGTGCCACAAATTGAGTTGCAGAGAGTGCCACAAATAGAGATTGCAAGGAGACTTGTTGAGCATTGCCGTACACCCAGCAGAGGCTGTGATAAATGCTCCTGCCAGGCAACATTATGCCAAACATCCAGCTCAAGAAGCGTGGAAGGGTCATCCTGGCCTAACACTCCAGAAGCACCCGGGAAGCAGAGGGACATGCTCCAAACTGGCACCAAAACACTGGAGGGTCGGTGAGGATCACTGCATCTATGGTAAACCAGAGAGCTCCGGCACTCTGCCCGACCACAGGCATGCACGAATGATGTCGAACAGGAATGACTGTTGTGAGGATTGCAATGACTGTTGTTCTGAAGAGTCAAAAAGAGACAGCCGCAATGACATGCTCAAGCGCACAGTAGCCTTGCTGAGTCTTTTCTGCCACAGCTTCTCTGCAGATACGATTGGTACATGATCTTCAAGTCAAAAAGGTTTCAGCTGCTCACCCTTCTCTGCTGCAGACTCCAGGGCGCACACGAGGGCTTCAGGCAGCGGAATCTGGCCCATTCCTCAGGGTCTTCAGTGCTCCAGCGTTCCTGAGCATCCCAAGCTTAGTGAACCTCCTCCTGATAAGGTTGTCACAGTCATCGTCCTCAAACGCCTCGTACTCAGCAGGGAGTACCTCCTTCAGAATTTGCCGCAAGCTTTCTCTCCTTTCCCCCTGTGCCATCTGGTTGTAGACTATCTTCCAGTCTTAATTTCCCAGCTTTGACCTGCAGTTTCCAGGTAGCGACGCATCTCTTGCCCCACTCGCAGATGGAAAAAGGTCCTATCGCTCAGGGTTGCACTTGAATTGGGCCGCCCTTGAAGCCACCCCTACTTCTGACGAGGCGACATTCGCATGGGCACCACTCGCCACTACTGCGGGTGTTTCCTTTTGGCACTGCGTGCCAAGGGCTTGCAAATCAACTAACCAAGTGATTGTTGGCATAATTTTGACCAGTGAGAACCTGACACGTGTCCCTCCGAACAAATATTCCGGAACTTCCTCCAATTCGCTTGAGGTTCGAGCCCAGTCAGGGGATACTGTCACCAAGCAGACCGTTCCCATCACAGGACTTCGATAAAAGACGACGTCGTTTGATATTGATTAGTTCCAGCTGAGTCTCCATGGTTACCTCTGGTACCTTTAAGCGGTCAGCGTTTAGACCTCCTGCTAAGGGTTGACATCGCTAAAAGCGGCCGGGCTTTAGGGAGCTGCAGGGCAGCTTGGTGTGGCTCAGGGCTTTCAGGTTGCCCGGCAAGTTGGTGCACAGGAAATGGCATTCTGCGGACTGCTGTAGTGGCGCATCTCTGAAGCGCGTCTGAGGATATTGTGAACGTAAGTTGCTTATCTGGTTGCCGCAATGCGCACTCGTGATATAGAACAATGTGTCAGGCAGAGGTTGGCTCTGCCGCTTTTGGACCAGCTTGAAGTATGCAACTGAGCGACTCAGTCTGAAGAAGGTGGATGCGGTTTTTAAGGGTTGTTCCTCGGGTCTTTGTAAGTCTGCACTGGTGAGAGTTGCATACGCAGTAAAGGGCAAACGCCTCGAAATTGGTGCATCTGGATGTTTGTTGAGACAAATTATCATTGAGTCTCCTATATTCCTCTTGGTTTTGTAGGGGCAGGAAAGCTGGTCCTTGCACTGACTCATCATGGCTAGAGGCCGGCCTCATGGCCGGTCCAAGTCCGATCACAGAGTCTGTCAGGAGGCTCGTTATGCACGAGCCGCTGAGTACAGGGAGAGAATCGCCATCAGTGCTGAGCAGCAGGAGGCACGCATTGCTGCTGTGAATGCTAAGTGCAACATGGAGGATGCCCCTTGTAGGCAGCGGGGGCAGAAGTCGAGGGCGTCGAAGACCAAGGCAGAGGCGGCTCGGATGTTCACAGGGAGCCGTGCTTGCAAAGAGTCTGGCAGTGCAAGGAAGAAAGCAAAGAAGGGCCTCGAACATTCGCTTGGCAAAGCTGCAGAAAGAGGTGAGTTCTGGTGCATGGCTTCTCTGATTGGTTTACCTTGTGAAGCCGAGGCAGAGCAGAAGCTTGAATGCTCTGTGCTGCAAGATAGAAAGGTGACTGGTGGGCTGGTGCAACATGTACGAAGAAGAGCATCTCGGTGTAGATGGCGAGAGAAATGAAGCTGGTACACTACTTTGGGTAGTGCGGTCAGAATGGTGAAGGATGGCTGGCTCTGCAGTTAAGAACAGGGTTCTGAGGGGTTTTAGCGTGCATGGCCGTTTTTAGAATGTAACAGACTTTGCCTCTTCCTCTTTGGAAAATGAGAGGCTAATTCTTGGTACAGGCTGTCTATCACAAAGTTGTAAGCAGTCTTAGCGGGCATGGCCGCCCCTGGGGTGTACCAAGCTTTGCCTCTTTCTCTAAGGGATATAAGAAGCTCATTCTTGGTACACGCTGGCACTTACACAAACCTCCAAACCTTCCACTGCCGAAGAAAGACTGCAAAAGGCTGGGGCATGCACCAAGTCTTGCATGCTTTTCACATCTACACTCCAGGTTCATCACCAAACCCCTGCGCTTCTTCATTGCAGACTTGCACAGTCTTCACTGCCAAGCGTGCGGCGCAACTGCAGAGTATGGGCTGAGGGGAAGCAAGGAGGGGGGCAGCGTCAAGTACACGTGCAGAGCGCACACCACATTGAATGGTTGTTTTCGAGTCGACCGAGACCGCGCAGGTGCGAGCATTCGGGGAGCCTGCTCTTGACATGGTCTGCATGCAATGCAACGCTCATAGCTGCTCTCCCATTGGTTAGCAGTGGGCTTTTAGAAAAGACTGCCAAGAGATCTACAGCTCTGTATGCTTTGCAGGTTGGGCAGAGGACCAAGAGATGCGGCGCCTGAGAGCACAGGAGAGGAGATTGGAAGAGGAGCTGCGGCAACTCGGAGGGGCCTCGTTCACTGCAAAATCGACATCAGGTGGGCGTGTGGCGCGATCTTTCCTCTCAATGGTGCTCTTGTTTTAACTGCATGGGGCAGTGAGTTCCCTTGCATGCCCTTGCCTCGTCATTGATTTCCTTGCTGTGTAGTGATATGTGATGCTTTTGTGATGGCTAATGAGTCCCTCCACTGTTCTTCTGCAGCTTGGAGTGAGTCGCAAAGTACGGGGGATGGGGCTTCAGTGCCCATGAGCAAGTCGCTCATAGGTAAGGCGCTTTGGTTGCGGTTCTGAAGCTGCAATCACTTGTACGGCTGTTGGGCTTGCTCTGTGTTTCAAGCGCTTGTAGCACTTGGACTAATCCTACTAGACGGTTCTAAAGACTTGCATGGTGGTCTTCGCTCGTGCCCTGATGAATCGAGCTGCTTCCAGCATTTAGCAATTTAACCTGTTGTTTTTCATGTGCAGCCACACTTCTCATGATTGGTGGTATTGAAGTTAACCCTGGACCTACTGCATACGAGGTGAGCCTGGAAAAGGTATTCTGCAGTTCAAGGAGGGACTGGTAAGCACTAGTTATACTCGAATAGCAGGAAGCTTCTTCTTGCTCAAAGTCCATGCCACTGAGAGAGCAGGCAATAGATGTTGTACCAATCATCAATGTCTCTTGACCACAGATTGCACAAAACAAAGAGAGCTGGCTAGGAGCTTATCCGGACATTGACAGAACGCTGCTGGATTACCTGGCACTGAAGAACATCAGGTTGGCCAAGTGGAGAGAGTCCACATCCGAGCAGCGCTCCAGTCTTCTAGACCTGTGGGCACGCCGGTACACTGGGGAATGGTTAGGGGACTGGGACATGTTCCTCATAGGGGTTCCGGGTAAGCAGCTCCCTCTTCTGAATCAGTAGGCTACCTTCGATGCAATCCGCTTGAGATCAGGACTAGAGGTTTCCATGAATTCAGAAACGAGGATTTGAGCTTTCCGGTGTTGCTGGTCAGCATGTAGCGGCGGGGAAGCTTGGAGAAGATGGCATGACATGGGCCTTCTGCTGATTGGCAGTGTTGACAGGTGACACAGTCGCTTCTTTGTCGATCTTGCCGAGGACACTGTTGCATGCTGGGCATGGAGTGTTTCCTAGCAAAAGCGGAGTTGCTCTGGAGCAGAAAGTGGCCTGCTGTGCAATTGTTGGCAGACCAGGTGCAACTCATGAGCAGTAGGGTGCTTGTCAGCCACCCCCCTCGTGCAATCTGCCAAAGGCTGGTTCTTCACTTGGCTTGCTGTCTTCGAAGCTCATCCACACGAGACCCGGATCTGCTTATCCTTCTGCTACAGCAGTTGCAAAGAGGGGTCAGGATGTAGGAGCGGGCCCATCTGCCGATGTGGAGATGAAGGATGTCAATCCAGGGAACCAAGTTGGTAAGAGCCACTGTTCGGTCTGTATGGTGCAAGGCCTCTTTTACAAATTGCTTCTGGCAGCTTGTGCTTGCCTCAGTGTGCTGACAATCTCATGTAGTCACTCGAAAGGAGAACGCATTGCTTCTGTATGCAGTACATAGAGCGCCCCAGCGCAAGGCAACTCCTGACTGCCAGTTTGTGCTTGCAGGCAGGAGTTATGACACGTTTGTTGCCGCACTTGGCGCAAACAGCGAGGGGATCAACAAAAGAAGAGCAAAGGGGGGCATCTTCACCCCTCGAATAGAGACAGTCCACAAGATCTTGTCGCGCTTGCAAGAAACGCTGGTGTTGCTTCTGGCAGCAACTCCGTGCTCGGGGAAGACGTCCATCTGTCAGCTCGTGTACGAGGAGGCAAGGAAGAGCCGGGTTTATGAGTCTGAGGATGTCATATACGTCAATTGCGCCGAGGTAGGAAGTGGGGGAAAGTCGTTTGAGGATGTGTTCTTGGAACAAGCCAGAGTTCCCTTCAACGAGGCCTCAAAGTCGCCCCCGAGCAGTCCTGAGAAGCAGCTGCAACGGTCGGCAGGCGATGCGAGTGGCTCCCAGGCTCCGCTATCCAGGAAGAAGCTCATTATTCTGGATGAAGTGCAGACAACGTACGACACAAATGCGCCGGGGCACTCTCTCCTGTGGCCGCTGCTCAAGCGCTTGCTGGCTAGCAAGCAAGGCGACGTTAACTTCCTTCTGTCAGCATCCAGGGGCTCCAACCCCGCTGCTGAAGGTCTGCTGAGCACCCCCTGGGGGTTCTCTGATGATCAGCGTGTCCCTCTCAGGTGAGGCCTCCCCTGGACAAGCAATGGCTCGTGCCCTCCAGAATGCCCTCCCGTTTTACTTTCTTAGCAAAGATGCCGTCATACTGGAAAGGGTCTGGCTCTTTTGAAATTGACAAGCGGATAGATCTCAACTCTGGAAACAGCACAGCTGATTGTGCCATGCAGGGTACATTTTCACACGTCCCTCCTCATTGCAGGCCCCGCCCCGATCACCCAATGGTGGCAGGCAGCAACATCCCAGAGCCAGCGTTGCAGTTCACAATGGACGAATTCCAGCAGCTGTTTGACTCTTTCCGGAAAAGCATCGGGTTTGGTGGGGAACAGCAACCGCTTCAAACGCTGTATGACATCATTGAGGCGACCACGGAGCGGCACCCTGGAAGCGTCCTCCACATCCTGGATGTTCTCAAGGGTCGCTCTCCATCCAATTACGCTGGCCGCGCAGCTGAGTGGGCAGCCAAGGAAGTGGAGTTTGTGATATCTCCAAGACTGCTCGAGACTCTGTCTGGTACAAGGTCATTTCCAACGTAAGAAAACCAAGCTCTTCTCTCTCTTATCGCAACCGCATGGTGGCGAGTAACTAGCATTGCCTTTTGAGAGTCAGCAAACAGTCTGGCTTACTTGTTCTATGCTCCCGCGCTTGCTTGTTGTCCTCAATGCCCGGGGTGACGCGTTAAGACACCACAGGCCCACACAGGCTGGCAGTCCATTACGTTGCTTGTGGCTGACTCCCATATGTCTCTGTTCAGAGTGAGCGAATTTTGGAAAGACAAGAGGGCGCTTGACCTCATCAGCAAGCTGGTAGCATCCGGAGGCAAGGTAGGTAGAGGCGTTGAACCTGATAACTCCTGTGGCCTTATATCCACATGCATCATGGTGGTTGTGCACAAGTAGCGCTGTCCCTTGTTGGATCGAAGCCTCTCAGTCACAACGCGCCTGTGTTGCAGGAAAGTTTGGTGGCGATCCGGAACGAGGATTCGGACTGTGCCGATAAGGCTGAGGCGCTTGCCAAATCGGGGTACATGCTCATGGAGCAGAATGTCGTCTCGTTCACCAGCAGCCTGCACATGGAGTTTTACCGATACAACTTGGCGAGGCGGAAGTGGGGCACACCCAAGTACATGCCGGGCTCCATTGAGACCTTCCTGGCTGAGGCCCTCACGAAGATGCATCCTCCTGTGCTTCAACACAGTCTGAACCTGAGCACCCGGTGTGGTGTCCTGGGGGGTGTTCTGGAAGCACACTTCCAGTTCGAGCTGTACTCGTGAGTTTCCCTTATAACATGTCATTCGCATTTGAAGCGATTAGGCGATGCTGTCAGTCTTAAATGGTTTTGATATTGTGCTAAGCAGACTTGACACCTTCAAACGTCTCCACCATGGCCCCAATGCATTAAGCGCCAGACAGGCGCACAGTTGAGGTAGTTTCGTCGGCTGTAGATACAAGCAGACTGTAACGTCCTCTTCTTGTTTGATACAGTGCCATCACCAGCCTCCTGCCAGAAGGTGACTACCTGTCACCAACTGTCGGCAAGATATATGGGCTGGAGGCCTATGTGGATTTTGTGCTGCATGGGTCTAGGAAGTGGGCGCTCGAGCTTTTGGTTGACGGGAGGGATCTGAGAGAGCACGAAAGAAGGTGCGCTCTGCAGTGCTGTGTCTTCCTCACATTACTAACGAAGTCTTAGAGGACCTGCCTAGCACGAGCAAGCACGATGACTACAGTTGTGTTTAGGCTAGCAAGACGAGATCGTAACGAGTGATTAGTTCTATGCAGCCTCACTAGCCACCAGCATCGAACACCTTGCTCCTTGATGTGCCCCATGATTGAAAAGAGTCTCCGGATGAGGAGCACAACTTCAGCAGTGGCTTCGGCATCTTTCTTGCTCATTCACGTTTGCACTCCTGCAGGTTTGAGCCGAATGGTAGATACCACCCAATGGTATTGGGCAAGCAGATTGATGCCTGGATTGTGGTGGACCTGCGGAACCCAAAGACTGGCAAGCCGAGACGCGCGAGGGGGCCGGGAGTTTGCCACGTGTTCTTTGATCCAACTTACGAAAGAGCCACGATTGACTTCGGTAATGGTAACGAGCAGCATGTGATCCTTACAGGTCGGGCGTAGTTGCTCGTGAAGTTCGGTCGTTTGCCCAACACTCGAGCACACTTCTTCTCGACAATTGTGCCTTCTGCAGCGGAAAGAAGTCTTTTCGGTCGACCCTAATCCACAATATATGAAATTCAGCGGACACAACTGCTTATCTTGAACCATTCAGCATTGGCTTGTTTTGATTGGCAACATGCAATTACAATGATGTTGCTCGGACTGATATTTGTGTGCAACATGTGTTGGTCGCTAGTCTACATTGCAAAGACGCCATGGCGCGCTCACCTCTTGTACTGGATCATAAAGTTCGAGTGATTTGGATCATGCGCTACTTGCAAGAAGGATTGCATCTGAGCGCATCCTACATGATGCATTAGATCAGAAGCAAGTCATTGAAAGTGGACGAATTGCAAAAACAAACGGCGCACTCATTTGTGCTTGAGGGCCGTTGGCTTGGAGAAAGGGTATCCAGGTCGCAAGATCCATGGACTCACTTTAAAGACGTCCGGTTTGCTGGAGGTGTGAATGTCTGGAAGCGATGTTAAGAGGGAACAGGAACAACTTCTAAGCCGATCTGTTGTCCTAGTAGTCACCTGCCCCTGCCATGATGATAGCCTCTGCTTGAGCCGTCCGGATCACACTTTGCATCCGTACCGCCTAACCAAGTGATTGTTGGCAAGCCCGCTAATCCCCGCGCGCCACGTGTACCCCCGGCCGAAAAACCTGGCCCCCTGCCCGAACCGGCCAAGCTGCCCCTCGAACTGGCCTGGGTTAGAGACTTTCTGGGTTACCTTGAAGGGAAAGAAACCAGCCCCAAAAATTTCAACGGACTCAGGAACTGCATCGGACCCGGAACAAGGCACTGATCACGTCCGTTTCGACCACGTGCCATGCCGGTCGAACCCTGAAGTTCCCGAAAATCCAGGAGTCAGGCCAGAGAGACGGCCAACACTCACAACGTACTGCAACAGCTGACTTGGAGCTCGCTGAGACACCTGAGTCAGGCCTCCTTTCCAGAGACACAGCCAACGCTCAACCGCAACAGCTGAGTTGGAGCTCGCTCAGACGTCTGAGTCAGGTTTCTCTTCAGAGAGCTCTCGGAATGGCTTCGGAATCGCTCAACCGCTTCAGATCTGCTCGATGAAAGTCTGACTCAGGCCCCTCTCGCGAGAGGCAAACAATGGGGCTTAGGGCAGCTATGCTCTATATAAGGAGGTCTCATACCTCTTTTCAGATCAGTCCATGTCTTCCATCCTTCAGCCCTCCCTCCTCGCAACATCCCAGCAGCAACTTCTTCCGACCTGCATACACTGTTCTGCAGCGCCTTCTTCAGAGCAACACCAACAGCTTCCTTCAGACTGTAGGAGACCTTTACAGCATGCCTTTCCTGCTCTGAGCGGCCCTCTTCCTGCCTGCGACCTCCTGCACGCGAGCATCGATTTCTTGCCCAGTTAGGGAAGCCAGGAAGCTCCGAGGCAGTCTCAGCATCCGGGCGCAGCTGCCCAACGCAGCTTGCAACAGCACCAATACAGCTGCAACTGAAGACTGCTGGCATGGCTTCTGACCTGCGATCCCACTGGGAAAAGTAAGCCGCTGTTCATGAGCTGAGTACGGCCTCAGTATGCAAAGCCAGAAGGGTCTTCTTGATAAAATTTGATTGAGACTGGGACTGATCATGATGGAGTTGCACTGGAAGGGCTTTCCATATTTGATGTGCTTCGAATCATTCGAAGAAGACCTGTCCATGTTCTGTCGCTTCTTTATATGTGTCTCTGATGCAAAACCTGGACATGGCTGTCGTGGAGGTTTAGAGCAAGAGGTTTAGACGGTGCTGCTGAGATCACTGAGCCCTGTCCCCCAAAACCCAAAGGTTGACCTGCATCTCATTTGTTTTTCTCCAGTGATCCTTCCTCCTCTGAGGAATCGGAAGGAGAGGATATTGAAGGTGTCGAGTATGCGCCCCGCTCTGTTGGCGGCTCCCAGTCTGGACGCTCGCTGGAGGAGTTCCTTCAAGACGAAGACTCTGCCAGCATCCAAGGCCCGTCCTTCTACAGGGCGTTCAGCAATGGGACAAGCCTCAGCCCAACTCAGCTGCCAAGGGGCGTCTCAACTTTGCTCAGCAAGGTAGAATTTGCTTCGGTGATTTTATCTGCTTCTGCTTCTGATTTTGCCGTGGTTCCGAAACAGCTTCTGTGATTGTACAACGACACCTTAGTTGACTGCCATCTAAATCTGTCGAGTGAAGCACCGTTGAGTAGGCTTGGGTCTGCTGCTTGAAATGCATAGGTTGCTCACCGGCATGTATGCCTTACAGGGTTACGTGCCCACCTCTCCATTTGCTTGGACTTCTGGTAGCGCCTTCGGAAAGCGGATATGCATAACCCCGCCAAGCAACTTCCAGGTGAGTTAAGAGGCTGATTCAAACTTGCGCAACTTGTGATTCAAACTTCGTGATACTGCACACGTTGATTGCAGTCGTTCTCCAATCGTTGCACCTGAGAAGATCCCATCAGCGTGGATCATTTCTTATTCCAGGCTAGTAGTTGCTTAACAGGACGGGCCTTAGATGCTGCCTACAGTGACCTTTCCAGTATGCTGACAACCGCCTCAACACTAGATGACGGTCTGTTGCACTTTGTAAAGGCTCTTGAGTCTGCTTCTAACTTCTTCCATCCTTTGGTCCACTTCTCCCTCATTTACTCACTGCCTTCTCCTCATGTAGGCGCCATCATCTCGTTGCATCCTGCAAAACGTTGGTGGCAAGAGGCTCGCAAGTGAAGCTTCAGCTGGCAAATGCAGTCCGAGTCCAACATCGAGAAGGAGAGGCCTCGCAAAGAAGCGTCGGCGCGTCATCCTCTCGCAAGACTCAGAAGAAGAGCGGCCGATGGCCCCCCTGCCTCTTGTAGAGGTGAGTCGTGCTTGCATACAAGTTTCGTCCAGGTTTTGCATGTATGAGATGCGAATTTTCAAACGACAAAACGTGGATATCAGCTGGAGTCCCTTTTCTGCAGCCAGCTCTGCTCGTATTCTGTGTTTTCTTGATGCAGAAGCTGGACAGGCTTTTAGAACTCAAATGTCGAGGCACGTCCCTAAGCTTGGAAACAAAAGAAGTGACGGTCCAGGTTCTGTCGTTTCTTTATACGTGTCTCTGATGCAAAACCTGGACGGCAAAAATCTTGAGGCCCCAGATCCTTCACTCTTGGAAGTTACGAAGTCGAGGCACGGGCCTAAGCTTGGAAACAAAAGAAGTGACGGTCCAGGTTCTGTCGTTTCTTTGTACGTGTCTCTGATGCAAAACCTGGACAGCACAAAACTTCGAGGCCCTAAAGCAGTCGAATACCTTCGCTACGATGCAGAAAGCGAGCAGTGCCAACTGCTTAGCAATCAGATACCTTCAACGCCTTCCATCTCTTGACCTCGATCAAGTTCTTTGAACCGGGTTGCAAAGCCAGCAATTCTGACGCACACTATATCGTCCTTCTGCAGGTAGAAATTGGTCAATCGGTTGATAGGGTGCCCGCAACTGATCGCAGCCAAGAGCATGGTTTTGGACAAGAGCAAGCTCAGGTACAGCGCCTGGCCATAAGGTCTGTTTAAGGTTAGCTGAAGGCAAGTTGGTACAAGCTCGCAGCAGACTCGATTGCAGAGACGCACGTGTGAGCAGTCAAGTCAGGGACGAGAAACTCCGATTCAGACCTTCAAAGCATTACAGCACCTCGCAGCCGTTTGTGCAAGCTGATTCATACATTAAAAGAGCCGCTCACAGCTGAACGGCTTCCTCATGAGTGTCGTTTCAAATGCTTGCTTAAGTGAGCCGTTCCCTCCGTCAGCTTCCGAAGTGTTGTCTCCTTTTGGCAGCGTTGTTGCAATACTTCTGCTCGATTCACCTTGCAAAGACTAGAGGCTGCAAAGAATCAATCATGTGATGCCCGTCTAGCAGAAGTAGCGTAAATTCCCAGCCCCTGTTGCAGATCCCTGGTCGTGTAGTCGTGCACACTGAGCACGATGGTGCGGTTCAGACGGTGCAAGAAAACAAGCTGGGAACGGCCTTCTTCTTCAAGTTCAGTCGAGCAAAGCTCCACTACCAAGATCCGAAGAATGGGCCGCAGGGTTTCAGCAAGCGGCACGCTGCTCTCTGTGATCACACGGTGGAGTTGCATCTTCTCGACCATAAGGGCTATCGTAGCTACGGGTCATACCCAAACTGGCCGACCGCGCGGGACTACACTCTGCAGCAGCCTTTCCTCGAGGAGGTGCTCGTCGAAGGGAGACCCTGCAAGCCGTTCCTAGATATGGAAAGCGATCAGGGGTTGCCTAAGGGGGAAACTCTTCGGAGCGTTATCAGCCAGTTTCAAGACGCCATCACGAAGATCTTTGCGGAGGACTACGCAGTCGAGATCCAAGAGCGGGATTTGAATCGGGTCCACTGCGACTATGGACCCGGCGGCAAGTTCAGCGTCCATCTCGTCATCTCAACGCACGGGCCGCGGCAATTGGTCTTCCGCTCCAATCTCGCCCCTAACGTTGACCCGCAAGGAGCAGGACACCTCGCCCGCAGGCTTGCTAAGGTTCTCCCCCCGTCCCTGGCTGACCTCATCGATCAGAGCGTCTACACTCGGAATCGAGGCATCCGGATGCCTGGTTGTGCAAAGCCCTCCAGACCTGACTGCCCGCTGCGTCCTCTGGACCACACCAAGCCATATGCTGACAGCGTCATCACCTGGTTCGACAAGGTAGGTAGCCTCATGTTGACGACAGCTTGTTTGCTGAAGAGACCATTCGCTGACCGGGCAAGGTAGAGGCAAGTTGCTGTCCGACCTTTTGCACAAACCTAGACAGACATTGTGCCAAGTCACTGCCTAGTCTCGTGTTGTCCTGTGTGCTTCTCACAACGGAACTTCAAAATGTGTAGCAACGTGGCAAGTTTTAGCCTGACCCTTCTCTACCTTCGATTCAAACTCAAGCTTACACTTCAACCTTCAATATGAGCACGTTTCGAAGTATCATTAGGCAACTTGACCTGGCCTCTCGTAAGAACAAGGATCGCCTGTCTAGGTTTCGTCAATTATATATATGCTTCTCTGATGCAAAACATAGACAGCATATATTTCAAAAATTCAATGTCCTCAGCATCTATGTTTCGTCAAATAGAACAGCAGCCTTGCTTAATGGTATGAGGTCGATTCAAGAAGATGCTCGAACTTATGGTTATAATCCAAGTTTACAAGTGCGCATCATCTCTGACCTAGGTTGCGGCACCCCAGATGTAGGAAATGCCCCACTGCTGGCTGACGTCATCGATCTGCTTCGTTGTTTTGACCAGGAGTTTGACTTTATCAAGGTCCCTGTCCTCGTGCCTGATGCTATGCGACAACACCGGCGCCCCACAAAGCCCGCGGAGATGGCTGTTCTCAGCGTCACCAATCTGGACGCCTACACGGTCCAACGCTGCCTAGAGCTCTTGCAAGCACGCTTGCATCCAACGGCCTTCAAGCGAGGAGCGAGTAGGGCGCTCAACTTCAGCTGGACGGACCGGGAAGGAGAGCCGTGCTACACCAGGCACACTCACTCCGGCGGGCGCGATCTTTTGTGCATCGTGAACGAGGCTCAGAACGCTGTCTTTGCCAAGTGCTCTAGTGAGCGGGTCGACTCCACGACCGGAGTGTGCTGCAAGGAGCAGCCTGCCCACTATCTC